AGGTGTTCCTCCGTCCGCCAGTGTGGTGTTACGAGGCCACCGTCCCACTGTGCTTGTTCCACGTCAGTGTGCTGAGAGGAGCACTACGGGAGCGTTCATTCATAAACTCACGTCCAGCAAACCACTCACATCAGATTTTTTATTTTTCCATCCTAAACTTGGGCTTATGTTTCATCGATCTCCAAATGTAACCCAAAATGTTTATTTATTTTTATATAAAAAAGTTTCCCCACAGTCACTGAACAATAAAAGCTCAGTCCCTCAACAAAATAACAGACGTTAATATTCTGAGGTCTGGCTGGACCTGCTCATTAATTCAGTTAAATGAAGTGAGAGAGGGGGAATCAGAGTGAACCCAACAGGAAAAAAGCCCTTAAAACCATTTCCTGTGATTTGGGTAACATGCAGAAATCTCAGACGCTCAGTGTTTGTCTTCGTTTCTTTTGCTCCCTGCTTTCCTCACGTTGTAAATTCATATTCATCTTGTTTTTCTCACTTTCTAGCACTGCTCCTTTCCATTTCTCTCATGATTGCTGGGTCAATAACCGGGTGGTGGACTGGGTCAGGGGGCACAGTCAGGTTTTGTCCACCAGCTTCAGGCTGCAAAGGTTAATGCCTCCTGACACTCCCAGCTCCATCAGTCCCAGCCGCATCATTCCAGTAATGCAGAAGTCATTGGGGCCCAGGATTGCGTGAGGGCTCTCATCTGGAAACCCAAACAACCTTCACCTCATCGAATTCCTCTTGAAGAATGCAAAAAATTAATTATTGGATTAAGCTTCTTTGTCTTATTGGATTACACCTTATCGTCCAGGACTGATGTGTTTTTGGAGAAAATGTTTCCATATCAGATCAGATATTACGTAAGAGATAAAGAATATTCTAATAAATGTGCTCATGTTAAAGTCTGTAAACATACACCAGTGAGCCAGTTAAAAGGATGTTGTAATTTCTAAGGCCAAAGTTTAATCTGGATTGTGTGGCCTCTTTAGCTGGTGTACTGGTCGTTTCCAACCATACCCCACTTCCTTTACAGGCACTCAACTGAATTGTTGCTTAACCTGCGCAGTGACCCTGCCACATGCTATCTACATCCCTCTACCCCAGATCCACCACCGCACTGCTGCCCTTGTAGGCAAGGGTTTTGCTCTACGTCAACCAGAGACACAGAGTTGCGAAGAGAAATCCATAAAGCTTGTGTTAGGGTGGAGAAAAAAAGTCAGCACCAGTGCTTACTCATCTGGTAAAAACGGAGTGATCTGCAAAGTTTGTATGAGAGGGTTTTTGACGGTGCCCTGCTGCTTTGTCAGTGCAGCACATGCTGCAGGCACTGGCATCCCCTATTGCCTTCCAGGTCATTGGCCAGGCCCAGCAGGCGGTGGGCTTCTAGCCCCATGACACGTCCCTGATTCACAGCTGGATCCGTAACAAGGTATCATAGCAAATGAGTCGGTAAAACATCACTGGTTTGAAGAGCGTGAAAAATTGTCATGATATCATTTGTAATTCCTGATCTGGACTGCCGTTGGTAGGAGAAAGTGCAGTAGAGAGTGTGAGAGAGAGAGAGTAAGAGAGAGAGATCTGGTAATGAAGGGTTTCTATTCCTCTTTGCCATCTCCACCAGTCTCCGAGCCCCCCTCCCTTCCCACCACCCCACAGCCTCACCCCCAAAACTGATGCCCGAGGGGGGAAATCCAAGCTAATGTAAGGAGGCAATAATTAAACATCTCGTGATCCTCAGCCAAGTGGCTCATAGGTGTTGCACCCTTAACATGAGGGCTTCGTGACACATTGTCCAATTCCTGAATGTGGATTTTGCCCTTCATTGCACATGACTCATGAGTGGTGGGGATGTGTCAGATTGGGCCTGTCCTGGTGCGTTGGGGTGATAGTGGTGATGTTTGGGGAGGTAATACAGGGGAAGTAAGGAGTTAGTCAGATGTTGTTATCTCTCAGCAGTATCAAATTAGAGGAGCTCCTGAAAATGAAATGATGCACTGGACTCCTTTGACACTTTTTACGAAATAAAATAATAAAATATTATCACAATAAACTTTATCAATTATTTTTAAAAAATTGTGATAAATCAATCTTTTTAAAGACATTTAAAAATATTTGTTAAATCCGGCCACAATTTTTAACTACGTTCAATAGTTCAATCAAACTGTAATATTTCAGAATATCCAATGTTCTTTTGCTTAATTATAACCAAATTATTTTTATTTACAGAAGTACAGTGAATTCATTCTATGTTCGGTTGAAGGAATTATTCATATCTCATAAATTGTATAATAATATTATAATATAAAGGAAAGTAAATTAAGGCGCCAACATAAAAAAAAATTCACATACACATAATGTATTATGCAACAAAATTAGATAGATAAACCCTTGTGATCTTTAACCTTTCTGCTGTGAGTACAGTTGACTGTGGGCAAGTTTGATGGATGCAAAGAATGGACAAACATCAGCTCCCTCTAAAACCACAATGGAGACCTTGGATCTAAATGTCATGGTTTCATAACGGATACTCTGACATTTGTGTGATGGGATTTAGCCATGGGTTAATATAGCCATTGCTGGCACACTGCATTGATGTCCATCTCACTCGGGCTGTGAAGTCTATCTCACCAGTTTTTTTTTGGGTGCCCTCACAGAAGTTTCTTTCAAAGGGATGAATTGGATTCTATGCTGGTTAAAGCCAATTATTTTATCAGAAAAAAAAAATGTTTGATATGTAGGTTTGTTTTATATGATGTTAATGTGCCTCAGGAGCTGTTCAGATCATTCTTCTTTTTTTTGGTGAGGGTCGGGCTGCGGGTGGGGGCTGTTCAGGAAGGCAGGCGATCAGCATTAAAATCAGAGCCATGTAAATCTAATCAATTATACAGTTTTTCAGATAAAATGTTGGTAAATCAAAACACATTTTCCAAAAGTCACAGTATAATGAGAAATTTAAATTGGAAACAGAAACCATTTGTTTATTATAAATGCCAGGGTGAGGTGGTGACTTGCCATCCATAAATTTCGTTATCCTTTCATATTCCTTTTATCTACGACTACAGCTTTGGCACTCGTTCAAGATTTTAATGAACCCAGACTTCTGAGGCATCAAGGCCTAGTGATGCATTGTCCATTTGGATCAGGCAGTACAGAGGGGGGGACAAAGGCAAAAAAGCGTTTGCCTTTGACATAATATTTTATATTCTATTGCCTTACAGGGGGGTCATTAGGTGACTGCAACATTTAACAACATAACAGATTGACAAGAATAAACACATATTCAGCATATATCTGGAATTAACTACCAGACTGATGATCCTGTGCGTTTGTGTGTATCTGTGTGTGTGTGCATGTGGCAAGGGGCGACTTGAATCAAAAAATAATTTTCTGTGCTTTATGAGGACACAGAGAAACCCCCCTGCTCTGGCGCGACCTGGTGTCGGCTGCTTTCTCAGGCTCAGAGGTTCCTAGGGGAGACCAGAATGGAAGTTGAGCATCTTGCTGTGATCCAAAGAAAGTGTGCCAAATGCTATCAAAACTGGATTAGTAGACAACAATCGTGTTCGATGAACGGAAGGGGGAGGGAACAAAGTAGTTTCCAAGTAACCCGAGATGGAATTTTTCGACTCCATTGAATATTTATCCCATGTAGAAATGGATGTGCACATAAGCCCGCTTTGTTCAGGGGTAAAGTCTATATTGAAAAATGCCAAGTTTTCTTACCTGAGCACAGATGAAGTGAAGAAGCATCAATCACACTGCGATGTATTTATTCTATTTTAAAACCAGTGCACTGTTTATATGTGTGGGTCATTTCATATGCACTAGAAGGATCAGTCATGTTTCTGATATGTAAGAGAAAGACATCTATTGAAAGTATCCAATAAAAAAGACCGGGACGGTAAATAATACCAAATAGGAACATCAGAACCTTAGAATTTATATTATATGTTGTATGTCTAGGAGATTTGAGCAGTTTCCTTCTCAGATTCAACATTGTTTGACATTAATAAAATAATCAAAAATAAAGAACAAAAAACTAAATAATATGAGTAATTTCTGTTATCTGTCTGTGATTTCCAGGTTGGGAAACCATGAACGTGGGGGAAAGGTTGTTATGAATTATTTATTTATTAAAAACATCCTTTGTTTTATTTGCTTTAATATAATTCCTAATGTCAATGTCAAGAAAGGAAATGTCCCACTGTTGCAGGAACAACAAATGATCATCATGGACTTTTCCTTTTTTTTTTTTACCTCAAGGCCATCCAGCAAATTCCTCTGACTCCTCAACACCTCATAAAGAACGGTCAGGTCCAGCAGCACATGCACATTTAAATACACCCGCACCCCGATGGCTGTCCTCTGAATGCTGACATTTGGAGCAAATCCCCTGCTGACTTAATCACGGCAAATATTGCGTGTCATTTGTGCACCACACTTGGACCTGGCTGATGGTAGTGGTAGTAATTCACCACTGCTGTGAGAGGGAGCCCCTGGGGTGACGTGCCTGGTGCTCAAATCTCTCTTCTCTCTTTCCTTTTGATTCCCCCCGTTGCTCGTCCGTCGCGAGCCTCAGCCTGTCTCCGTCCCTTCTGTCTCATGGAGCAGAAGGACACCAGAGTCGCTGTAGAAGGACACCATCTGTGACACAACAAATGAAAATATAAATATGTAAGCAAACACAGAATATCACCCACTAACCCACGTTTAACAACTGTGTTTTATATTTTATATCATTTGAATTACTTGTTTTGAATAATGTTATATAATGAATTCCCCTGTGTTGTAAATCAAAGTGTGTAGTTTCCCTCTTCTCCATCCTCTCCTCTCATCATCACCCTCTTCTTCTTCTTCTTCTGTTTACTTTCCCACGTGCTCGTCCTGCCGCACTGAGCCCGCCCCCTTTCCTCGCGTCGTCCAATCACAGGACTCGCGGTGCAACCACTTATACAACCAATCAGCTGCTCGCTCTTTTGGCGCGTCACCGGATCAAATATGGCGGCGCACTTGAGCAGAGCTACCGAGCGACTTGTTCCGAGGTGAGTTTGAGTTTCTGTGGCTTCTGCTTCTCCTGACGAGCTGCGTCTGTGGCAGGAAAGCTCCCGACGCGAAGTATCACGATGTTTCACTTCCGCCCGTTGGTTAAATGTCGCTTGTTTCGTATCCGGGGAGAAGAAGCTAGCGCAGCTGCTGTCATGTCTGTTTAGTTTGTTGTGTTTGTCTGGAGGTGACACGCTGTGTTTGTGTGTTTGAATGACTGAACCGACGGTAAACGTGTTGAAGTCCATCGCTGCCGTGTTTCTGAACCAGATTCAGCCGCTTGTGATGCTGTTTTATTTAATATTTCATGTGGAAACACTGGTACATGTTTAAAAACACATATAACCATGTCATGTTACTTAATGTTGACAGGATGATGCACAGTCATGTTGTGTTTACTGGGATTAAATACTTCTCGGGCTTCAGGCCTATTAAATGCAGAACAAAATGTCCACCACACTGCTACTTGCAAACGTTCTCATTCTTTTGTATATTTTTGTGTAGAGCACATTTCAAACAGCAAACATCGAGCAACCACAGAGGTTTTTAGAGTATTGGATTATTTGTTTGATAAATACAAGATGACAATAGAAACACAATCATATGAATTAGACCAGGTTCAAGTAAAAGGCCTGTTGGCGGATAGCATAGGCTCATGCTGCCCTCTTTACATTGAACAGAACAAACATAGAAGATATTTATGCAGCACCTTTACACCTTCGGCACAAATGTTTTATACAATGTGTATCGCAAACAGCACTGCATCGATTAATAACTGTACAAGCATATTTTTATTGATTAAATTATATTGTCATGAATAAAATACAAAATAACACAGAATGTGGTTACTTGGCAGTTAGTTTTTGTAATAAATTAACTCGGTTATTCATTTTTATTATACATTTTTATACAATTTCTTCAAACCCAGTAAATTATTGTGAAAGTAGCATGAAAACTGTTTGAGCCTTATGGCAGTTTGTGGTTTTACATTCAGTAGCTATTTTCTTTCCATCCGCTCAGTACTTCTGTGTAGAGCATCTTCTGTTGAAGTTGTGGTTGCCTGGCAACGTCAATGTTATGCCAAGAGTCCGTGAAGATGCTGCACCAGGCTGTGCTTTATTTTTACTTTCTGACAGCATGATCTCATATTACTGAAGAAACTCACGACACCATATGGTGGCCGGTTTACTCATTACAATCTTTTTCATATTTGAAATGTTTAGTTTCCAATAGAAACTTTGTGGTCTACTTCAGGACTTTCATAGTTTTTGTATTTGCTTGTTTTATCAGTATTCGTAGTGGGCAGGGTTATAATAATCTTTTTGTCTTATTCCACTCTAGAGTCATTTTATTGTCAGTTTGTTGTTAGTGCTGGAAATTGTATTGCTTTACTTTGGATCCACCTCTGGAGTGGAAATTGACTTAACTATGCTAAGTAGTTATTGTAAATAATTGTCCATAATATCCTTTACACAATAATATAATTTGTATGTGTATCAGTCATTTTATTACTTCAGCTCACTGCTTGTCTGTGCACATGCACACATTCCTAGCCATCTAAACTGGGAATACAGTATTTCAGTCACAATCTTTCCTATCAACAGTGAGACTACAACCCCTATGCAACTTTATATTCCAATATAATTTGAGCAAACACTTTATAGAATGATATTGAAGGAAAGATATTTGTGTTGCTTATTTGTGGGATTTGAGCCAAAGTCAAGATTCAACCAACTGAACAAGTAAAGCAAACATATCTACTTTACATAAGAGACTTGAAGCAAAGGTCAGATTGACTCACGGAGGACCAAAGTCAGGATGTAGGTTTTAGTGCTTCCCTTTTAACAATAATAAGAAAAAAACAGTTTTCAAGTCCCTAACAGGATGTGATTACAATACAGACTTGTTGGATTTCCCCTTTTAAGAATATTAAAAGATGTTAATACTTGCACCTGTATTAGCCTTGTGTGCATTTCTGCAGGTTTAGGTCATGAGATTCAACGACAGATGGTTCACAGTCAAAGTTGCATCATGCTCTTCTACCTTTTCAGTAAATTTATAATGAAAGTCTCACAGAAAGTATAATTAGAAACTTCAAACAGTCTGAATGGCAGTTACAAAGAACTTAATATTCAAGTAATGTGTCTGTACTGGTCAACAACATTGTGACATGTGGCTCTAATTCAAGGCACATGAATTTCCAGAGGCACAAAGCTGACGATGCTGCCAAATTAGAGTGTGAAGTGACTGTCACGCCATTGTTAGTGTGTTTGAGTGTGTCTGTTTGTGCATGTGGTGCATGAATAGTTTAAAAACAAACCATTCTCTCATCCTCATTAATGCCTATTTTAACTTAACATCTCACTTGTTTCTTCTTGTATTTTCCAGCGTACTTATAAAGTAAAATCACCAAAATTTTGAATTGTATTTTTACAATTGTATTTGTACACTTGTTTACAGCATATTCATATTAAAAAATCTACCATTCTAATGAGATTCATTTATATTTTTGGCCGGTGTTTCAGGGAGGCAGTGCCTTCGTGGTTAAATGCAGTGCTCTCAGATGGCTGGAGCTCCGAGAGGAATGTGTGTGCTAGTTTTATGGACAGCCTAGAGCCCTCGCCCTGGCATTGGCGGCAGACTGCTCTTTGTCACAAACACCCTCGTGTCAAAGATGCAACAGCATCCTGGAGGAAGCATTGACTGCCGCTATGAAGTCGACAAGTGATGAAAGTAGCCTAGAGGTTGTCAATTAAGAGAGCCAAGGCCTGGACCTTATAAGTTAATGGGCAGTTTCCCCTCTCCGGGCCTGCCAGGGCTTTATAGCACAGCTTATAAAGCCCCCGAGTGTAATGCACCCCTATAACGCTTTCAATTAAGAGAAGGGGCATAAAGCAGTGCAGACACTTGGCAGTCAAGCTAGAATGTTTATAAAGTGGCATTTGGCATAAATTGGGAGGGGGGATTTTCAATTGCTCCAGTTGTTTTAAAGCAGCAGCCACTGTGCAGAATTTTATTTTGATGGCACTTCATGCTGACTTGAAGCATTACAGACTTCCTGGTGTCTTCCCATTACTAGTTCCTTTAGCTTGGTCATATGGACGCACAGCCTGACATTTTAAAAGCCCCCTCTTCTCAGTTGTAAAAGAGATTAGAACCAAGACAATGCAGACTTTTAATATACAGTTGTAATTTTAAACACTCTTAATATTAGTAAGTGTCATTAAAAATGCATTACTTATTTCACAGTAAATTGCTTAATTTGCATTTAAAACTATCCTATAATACAAGAAGCATTTACTTGTAATGCACTTACATTAAGTAAAACAGAGCAGATAAATGTAATTAGCTCTTGCACAACCCAAATTTCTTGTTTGTAAATCTGTTAGAAAAAAGGAGTGCTTTAAAGAAAATCCCTTCACTCATCTGGTGTCCTCTGTCCTCAAACTGTCTTCGGCTACTGGTAGAAAAATAAATGAGTGTTGAATAAACACCAGTGTGTTGACACCTCATTTCCTTCTTGATTGGTGGTGGAAGCCAAGCTTGAGGTGTGTGGCCATAATCCAATCAAGCAAAAAAAAACAACCACAAGGACTCTGTAACCAAATTCTGCAGCTATGGGAGGTTGAGCAGGCTTCTAACCACAAACCTTAAGCTCTAGATGCTTTTCCTGAGCTTTTTAATGGTTTATCTTGTCTTTTTCTAGACGTGTTCTTGACCATTGTGTCGTGGTAGCAAAGTCTTGACTTAATTTTCATGCTTTTAAAAAAATATGTGAGCCACTTTTAAAAGTCTGTCACAGTCAAACAGCATTTAATTGGTCAAGGTATCTGCTGGTGTCAAACAACAACAGCAAATGGGGTGGGTGTTATACCGTTTTTTTCCTCACCTTCGTTGTCACGTTCTGCCACAACATGGATTTTATAAAATCATCATTACTGTGATAAACACACAGTGGCATAGGTTCTGGGTTTAACACACACACACACACACACACACACACACACACACACACACACACACACACACACACACACACAAGGAGATCAATCTTGTCTGTTTGCTGTCGCTGCAAAACCAGAACATCCCCATGTCGCTTCACATTCAATTTTCACTTCTAACTCGGACGCTGCAGTTACTCTCCTCCACTTGCATCAACTAGGAATCACATCTGTGACAACAGAACGTTTTTTCTTATTGGCTAAAGGCTTCACTGACATGTATAATGCATATGTTTTTATTATAAGAACTTCAAATCAGTTATCTCTCATGTTTATCTTCCCCAGGATTACGTTACTGTATTATACAGATTGAAGATGATTGAAGATTTGCAGTTTTTCAAGTGTGTGTGTGAGATTGCTAGTGTTTTTCAACTCCATGGGAACTCTTAAGGTTTTTGAATTGTGTGAGTGTTGTGTTCAGGTGACATTTTAAGTCATTTTTTTATCGTAGGTTAAGAAGTTAAGAATTTGATTACATGTGTAAATCTAGTGTTGTACAGATGATGTCACATCTTTTATTACACATGGGAAAAAAATATTAAATATTAAAACGGTAAATGTGAAAAACAGCATTTTCCTCCCAAATATTCTTAATTGCTGAGAACTGGGTTGCTCAGCAAGTTCACTCGGCTCAAAACAACAGCATGGCTCTTACTAATGAATCTCATTAATTACTAATTAGCCTAGATTATGGGGCAAGGTTACTCTGCTCAAAACACATGTAAGCCTATAACCTATTTTTTAGCCAATAAACACATCAGATTCTTTAAATAATCATGTTTCCTTTCTTCAGATGTTTTCAGTTTCTCTGCCAACAGAGTGAGAAGAAGTAGAATCATGTTTTGCGTGATGCATCCCTTTTAATTTGGTGTTAAGATGAAATCATATGGCCATCGTGGGTTCAAGAAAACAAACTCTACACCACAACATCTCTGGATCTCTCTACCAGTGCCCACAGAGCACATTGCCTTTTTTTAGATCCAATGAATCAATAAATC